TCTGCAGCATCTTCGATCTCACAAATGAGAAGTCGGATTTTCAGTTGAAAGTTATAGAGCCCCAGAAATAGGGGAATAACAAAGTATAATATGCCCCGTAGAATGTATCTCCTTTGTACCCGTATGAATTCACATAACAGACGAACAAGATTACATGGGGAGGTGAGTTTTCCCTCTAGTGCACCTAGAATCATTGCATTTATTTTTCAAGAATTTCCCTCTCCCTCTCGTCTCATTTAAATTGCTGGACTTTCCAACTTCTGCTCATCACAAGGATTCAAACACGAGAGAAAATCACTCCCTCATCCATAATTGTCCCGAATGGCTAATAAAATTCCAAATGATAATCCACACTCGTGAGCTCCAGTAAGAGGTACTTGGAATTTTGTAATTAAATACCAAAGTAATGAAAAATTTCTCCTGCATTTCAATAAACGTAATTGAACATGAGGAAGGCCTTTCGAAATTCCAGATGGAATTTTAATATGACACTTTGAATGCATTTGTGAGGATTCAGTTGGCAGATAGTAGCTCCAATTTCAGAAGTTAATAATAGTTTATTGCAGATTTTATTAATGCTTCAAGAAACAATCACTACTGGACTCCCTGGGGCTTTGCAGACGATCGCCTTCATTAATCCTTGATCATCAGGAAATTACTCCTGTGAGGCTCAACTGCAGGGGCCCCATAATCCTTCGGCTTTCAGATTTATGATTCACATTCTCTACTTGGACACTCTTTTCCTCTCTATTTTTACTATTTTTCTCAGTGACCAACAATTTCTGTAATTGCATCGTCTGGGCATTATTTCTCGGGTTACGAGTGGACGGAAAATCAAATCATTTCTCATGATTAGAATTAATGGCGCCGCTGAACCTGCGATGAGGTAACAATTAGAGTGGGTAAAGAAACAAATATGACTGATTCCATCAAATAAAAACAAATTTGCTTTTTATTTGTGATTTCTGGTGTGACAAACGGACACCCATCAAAAATCGTTTTATAAATAATTTTTAATATTGTTCTGTGTTTAAACAAATATCCATTGATGAATGAAGTGTTTAGTAATTATTCGGTTGATAAACTATCAAGTTGGATGTCCCAAAAATAAAACAAGTAGTTTCTGAGATATTCGAATAAAAAACTATTTTTGGGAAATTTGAGGTGTCTCGAAAAATATTTGACCTATCGATCTGAAATTTCGCCCAGTTGGACTCACAAATAATGTCCATTATTCCACAGAATTTCAGATTTTTAGCGTCAATTTTGATCCTACTTCTGATTTTTTTTTGCTAATCGAAAAATTCGGAAATTTGCTTGAAACGTTCTCTTTCGTACTAAATCAAAAAATCAAAAAAATAATCGATTGTAAAACATCCATTCGCTAGTAAAAAATGTGAATAATGCAAAATGAACACTAATACTAATGTACATCATCATTATCATCTGCAACGAGCTTGTCCATACCAGATCCATTACACGAATAAACAATTAAAAAATCACTTTACCATTCAATCTGATAATAATTAAATGATCTCCCCGCATCGCTCTCTTATTCATTCGCGATTATTCCCACAAAGTTCGCTAATTGATTTATCCTAATGTTAATACATTTATTGCTCTATTATTTATTCAGTTAAATACCCACTGGCTATTCTAAATTCACGGAGTAAATGTAATTTCAATATATTTATCTCCGTGTTTTAATTTCCAAGATCTGTCCGTTACGAGATTCGCGAATCCGGAGATGAATTGAATCCTCCATTATCACTATTTCAATATGACATCTGTGTCAGAATTTTTCAGAGTGTTATTCCTTTATTATTGATTCACCGAGTCCAGTTATCGTAGAAAAGCGGGTTATTCTGTTCATTTCACATCACAGCGGGGAAAACAAATTTCTCCATTCAATTCACGCCTTTATCTCTTCATTGATTATTTCGAATACTGCTAGAAGCTTTCACTCGTGGATAATCCGTTTTGAATCGCAATTGTCGATGTATTTTACGCCGACAAATTTGCTGGAAAAATACCGCGACTTTTCCGCATGGAGAGAGATATAATCCAAAAATTATAATATGCCAAAATTATAATATGTACTTTTTTTAAAATACTTATTTGATGGAATTACATCTTGACTTTATTCAACTTAGATTTTGAATATATCTTCGATGTGAGGGGTGAAATATATCTACACAGATATATCCAAAATATATCCCATATAATAGATTTTTTGATAAAATATATTCAATATATATCCAGATATAATTGACATATTTTTTTGGGTTATTACGACACCCGA